AGCAAGAAGCTGTGGGACACCTGTGGGCCTTTCTAGACCCAGCCCCAGAGCCTTCATATCCGTCAGGAATGGAAAATTGTAGGAGAAGCTAGTGATCCCAAATTTTACAACTTTTAATATTTTCTAGAAATCTTTTATTTTGTTGTTCTTAATTATTTACTTTCTCTCCAGTTTCACAGATCTCTTCCCTAATATGCTCTTTTGTATATTTTTTGTTTTACATTTTCAGAGTCCTTTCACTTTATAATTATCTTTATTGTTTATGTCGTGAACCTCTTTGAAAATATTGTATTTATTTAGCTGTTGTTTGTTGTTTAATCTTGACAACTGTAAGAGTGGACATTTTTAGCTTTAAATTTTCATTTCTTGTTGTTCCTCTTGTCTTCCTATGTTTTGTTTTGTATATTCTGTCTGATATAATCAACATGTATTTCCAATAAATCTTTTATGCATCACATCTGTAGTGTTTTTTTAATCCTTTTTTATTCTAAACATTGTTGAGGATTCACCTGACTTTATACTCTTCGTAATACGGATGATGTTCTGCTCCACCGCCATAGTCCTTATTCTCTGTTTCCTTTCAGTGATGTGGTACATTCCTTTTTGGTATATTTTTTCTTCTGTTGATTATTTTGTGTAGTAGTTTTCATTCATGGCCAATTTAGTATACATTTACTGGAGAGAGCAACAGAGTTAAAGGTTAAAAATATCTTTTTCCATCCTGTACATATTTTCTTTCTCTTAAGGTTTTTCTTTAACTTCAAAGATTATCTCCTGCACCTTACTCCTGTAAGTTTTTTTTTCTTGTCTCTTTTGCTTAGTTGATATTCATTAGCATATGATTATCAATATATTTTAAAATACATAGTGAATTTTCCCTGGTTGATGCTGTTACTATTATGGTATAAAGCCTTCACTTTCTTTATCTTCCATGAAAATACATTCTAAATTCTCTCCTATGATAAATTTTGTCACACTTCACTAGTTTTAAGAGGTACTTTAAGACACTAATATATCTCCAGACCAGTGAAATACTCCTGTCTCTCATTTAAAATGCAGAAATTATGATTAATTTTGAAAATACCACCTTTCGACTCTTCATCTCCTGTCTTTAACATCCAGCTTTTCAACTCCACTTTTTCTGGTTGCTTGAAGTTCTAGAGAGATGCTGGAAAGAACAGGAAGTTTTTATCGCAGTCCACCAGGCTCCTGCTGAAGACAGCTGTAGACACTCTGTGAAAGGAGCAGACTACCCTGGATGACACAAAAGGGAAAGTAGGGCAGGGACAGAGCCGGCCAGGCCCAGCGGCTATGAACCACAATCTGATTAGGCGAGTGATAGGACTGACAGTGGCTCCCTGTTTAGACTGATGCTATTACTCACCATTGGGACATGCAAGTCACATTATAACAACAAAACGTCATGCATAAATCATTAGTCAGTGTTTCTAAAGTTCTTTGATATCCCTTGTTCCTAAGTTGCTTGAGAAAATTTGCAATAAGCACTTTTTTCCCCCGGGAACCCCCAAAAGACATTTTGTAATTCGGAGCGCATTTAAATCACAATATTATTAAATACAAAAAGTAATGCTATCAAGTGGAGAGAGGAAATAGAGGACTTTGATGTGGAGAGGGTTTGTTGCCCTGAGACAGAGTAATGAGGCACAACTTGCTCTGACTTGCAGGCTTTGCGATAAAATGTAAATCTGGGCAAGGAAGTCACCCCCAAGCTGGGAGATGTGGATTGCAGTAATTCACTTTCTACACCTGGAGAGTGTTTTTTGTCTTCCCCTGCAATAAATGCAGGGCAGTTTTTGTTGGGGAAACAATCCCTTTGGCCAGCTGTTGCTTCCACTTTCCTCCCAGCCACAGCTCCTCCCAAACCGCAACAATACATGTCAGAAAAAAAAAAATAAAACCAGAAATCTAAACAGAATTCCTTCATCACCTGAAGAGAAAAGGAAAATACCGGGGTGAAGCTGTATCACAACAAGAAATACTCAGCTTAGGCATTGCAGGAATTAAGACCAGATACTTCAGCTCGGGGGGTCTTCTCAGGGATGACAATAAGAAGGGTCTGTAAAATGCCTTGGACGTGGGTAAAAACCAAAAAGTTAGAATAGAAGATACTGACTGTCCTCTGAAAAAGCACAGAAAAAGCATAAATGATCACAAATGTATGTAGAATTTTTTCTGGAAAGTATAGTTTGAAATAACGACATTTTCACCTGATGTACAGCAAATGTGACATCTTACACTAACAGAGGAATGGATCAAGAATGTTGAAAGGATTTTTTTGTAATGAAAGAAAAGAAAAGCTACATTAATATTGACCCACGACTTCCAATGGCACAAATCATGATTTAATTAAAGTAATGGCGTGCACCACCTTGTTTCCTGTACATTAAAGCAAATGTGATTGTGTAACACTGAAGCGTCTAAATCGCTCACACATTTTCATACATTAACACAACACCAAACATTAGCTGGGTTGAACACCAACTAATGAATGTTTGTGACATTATTTCAAAGTACTTTTTTCTCAAGAAGCCCCAGAACATACTTGATAAGAGTTAACGCCCACAACATCTAACAAAAAAATCTTTATCTGCTTCTTTGATTTTTCCTCAAAATTGTACCTGTTTTGGTGAATCATGGGCAGGGATGGGACTTCATACATTTCTGGATGGTGACTTCTTTGACTTCCTAGCTCAATTCACTGTCAGCAGAACCATGGGCCCCTTTAAAGCTGAATTTCAGTTCCCAGTTAAACTCTTTTAGTGAAACAAAATGATTTTTACGTAGGGTTGAGTTGCCACTCAAAAGACTGTTCTTCTCAATTAAAAGCTGTTGGGGAATTGGCATGTGTATTGTATGATCTCAGCTGATATTCATGACCACTTGAAATCCATCTTAGGTCAATGAGGTTTATTTAAGTTAGGGATGGAAAAGACAAATTCCTGGGTAGTCCTAGGATAAGCTGCACTCTGTCTCCAATTAATTTACCAGATAAATTTAAAAGACTGTTAAGAAAAAATGTACACGTCAACCAATGATGAGTCTTATGAAATCTCTGAGCGCACAAGCTTATGGCGACTTTGTAAAGGGAGAAGTAACATGTGGAGTCAGCTTAATGCACATGGTAATTCCAGTGAGGTCACTATAATGATACCAGGAATTACACTAGCCAATTAAGACCCAAGATTAAAGAAATCGTGATGGTGTAACGTGGACATCACACGGTGTGAGAATTTGAATAAAATCATAACCACGATAAACACAAAACTTTCATCACTCAAAGCTATTAAACAATTTCTGTTAGGCAGCCAAACGCAACCCCCAGCACCAAGCGAGTTTCAAATCCTATAGGAATGCTGAGAAACTCTATATAAGCTCCAGCCCCTGAGTTCATCCAGACACTTCGTTTGGCTTATTCGCCTTGCTGAGCTTAGTGAGTATTATTTTTTTAATTTCTTTCTATATACTTAATCGGAACCTGTATCAGAGTAGATGCAGAAGGTTCCTATAGGTATGCTCAGATTTTGAGCAGCATTAGATTGTTTCTGTGTGTAACTACTCTTAGTGAAAGCAGTAGTAAATGCAGGATTTGGGAGGCTCGGTGTGAGTGCAGGAACTCTGAGAAATTGATTTGAGTGTTCTAAGCTTAAAAATCACAGATGAAAATGCTGTTATTTCAGATAATTATTTTAATATTTTATAAAATTTAAGATAAATGTATAAGATGGCCATATTTTCAGCTGTGTTCAGTGGCATTCTGGGAGACATAAATAAACCCTTCTATTTCAAGCAATGCCACATCTAACTTGGGTCTGTTTCCCCACTTTGGGGAGCTCTGTGGTAGATGAGACTGAGGTTCTTACATTGTTCTTCAGGGTGTGTGTTTGCAGGAAGCGTAAGACACATCCATGCAAGGCCAGAAGAAAGATCCATCTGTGGGGTCTGGTCATTCCTGGGGTAGACTTAACAAAGTTAGAAAGTCTGAATCCAGGTGCTCAGCTAGTGTTAATCAAGTTGATCAAGGCTGCACATAAAACATGTGCTAGAGCACAGGAAAGAACAACATAGTAATCTCGCTCATATCAGCATTTTGAAATTTATCTCATAAACCTTCAGCCTTTTTGTTAGTCTTTTTCAACTCTATCAGTGGCAAACTGATCTCCACCCCTGCAAGATGTCTTGCTACGACCTGTGCCCACCGAAAACCAGCGTCGCCGTCCCCCAGCCCATCGCTGACAGCTGCAACGAGCTGTGCGCCCGGCAGTGCCCCGACTCAACGGCCTTCATCCAGCCGCCCCCCGTCGTCGTCACCTTCCCCGGCCCCATCCTCAGCTCCTTCCCCCAGCAAGCCGTGGTGGGCTCCTTGGGAGCACCCGCCTTTGGGGGCTCCCTGGGGCTGGGGGGCCTCTACGGTGCCGGGGCCACGCTGGGCTCGGGGGGCCTCTGCACCTTTGGCAGACCCTACGCTCCTCCCGCCTGCAGCCCTTACGTCTTGCCCCGCTACAGCAAGAAGCTGTGGGACACCTGTGGGCCCTGCTAAACCCAGCCCCAAAGCCCCCAGCGTCCCTGGGCCACCTCAGCCTCATGCCTCCTCTCCTTTCTCCCCTCCTTCCCCTCTCTCCATGCTGCCTCTCCTCCTTGCTCCTGCCCGTGCCCGCATGCGCGACTCCACCATCGTCCCACAGGCCGCTCGCTTGTCTCTGCAACGGCTGCTGCCTGGGAGAAGCCTGAAGGAACACCGCTCTTGAAGCCCGGGGGGACAGCCTGCCTGCCTCTGCCTTATGTGGCTTTCTCCACTGCAATAAAACAAGCCTGCATCCAACGCCTGCCTCGCCGCCTTGTCTTTCAAAGCCCAGCCTGGGCTGCAGGGTTCCCTTGCCCTGCACGTGTCCCCTGCCAGCCGGGCCAGGGCAGTCTCTTAGCCCCAGCAGAGCCAGGCTGAGCTGCCTTTGGGGAGACCCCACAGCCCCGGCAGCTCTGGCCACACATGGTCCTGGAGCTGAGCTCCAAGGGCCCTGCCTGAACACAGGCTGCTCCCCTGCCTGCAGGACATGCAGCCCGGGGGCGTTTACAGACTTCCAGCCTCCTTGCACATGAGCGCGGCTGCTCCAGGGGCTGGAGGACAGCCAGGGGCAATGCCTGCCGTGGCTCCAGCCCCTTTGTGCCTCCATGGCTCTGCTTCAGGCCCTGGGGGAGAAAGCAAAGGGGAGATTCCCCGTCCTCTTCCTTATCCCCTCCCCTTCCCCTTCTCTTTCCTCTTCTTCTTTCCCTTTCCCTCCTTCTTCTCTCCCCCTTCTTAGTCTCCTTCCCCTTCCCTTTCCTCTTCTTCTCTCCACCAGGTCCCCCTGCCCTTTTGCTTGTGGGTGATACCTTGGATTGCAGAGCCCCTTCCACTACCTGTATGACTCCAGGGCCCCTCTTGGCTATGAGATTTCATCCTTCTCCATGCTCAGCAGCAGGTACTGTAGCCCATACTCCTCATGCCAGTACAGCCCGTTCCTCCGCAGCAGCTCTGGGCCATGCTAAATGTAGCAGGAGCATCCCCGGTTAATCTCCTGAAAGTGTTAATCTCTTTTTTCTTTGGATTAATGATCTACATTCTTTCTATCTTGGTTCTCATTTTATGCTGGTTGAGTATATTTGTCGTGGACTAATTTAAGAAATGTGGGGATTATAAACTCTGTCAATGAAGGAGAGGTTTGTGTTGTTTTCCTCTAACTTTCATTCTTATTAAAGTTCTATTGCATAATGCAATCAGATTCTGCCTCCCTTCTGCCCCCACCCCCCTTTAAATGTGTCATTCTTAACAGTCTTACAGGTTGTGAAGTTCAGCTTTTGGTATCAGGTTTCCATCCTCATCACCGGCAGACAAAAGCAGTTCATAAACCCTGCAGAAATCCCACTCCTACCTTTCATGAGGCTTTCCCCTTGTTCCCTTGGCTACTGTTGGTTTATGGTAACAAGAACATTTAGAGCTAAGAAAAAACCCCCCATATTTTCTTCATTATTTAATTGAGCTCTTCTACCAAGGAGAGCAGAGTCTGCAAAGTCATCTGAGCTCAATGCTCAATTCACACTATACATCCCATCATGGCGTCTATGAACGATGGCTCAGGAAGCCACCCCTTCAAATGAAAACGTACAAGACATGTCAATGAGAAGTAGGAATGAATTTCAAATACCACAAAGTATTTCCTGCTCAGGAAAAAAACTTCTCCTCATAACCGGAAAAATTTTCATTTTCCCATAATAAGGTATTTTGATTTTTTAATTTAGTTGTAGAATTAAACTGAAAGCAAATCTGTGCATGCAATGTGTTTCAGCATAATGGCACGAATACAGAAAAGTATTTTCAAGCCATTTTTAGATCATTTTGCAATGACAGAAAGCTTCCGCAGACTACCTATTGAATAAAGTCCTGCAAAAAGAAAAAAATTAAACAGACCCACTTAAGAACTGCATAAAGGGCGGAAACAACGTTCATTTTTTGTCATGACACTTGGACTGCTGAGGGACTCGAGGCATTTTGTCCCTGCACAAACAAGGGTGAATATTGCTCCCCGAGGAGGCTGAAGAACAATGAAAACCAGAGAAGTTCTTGTGCAACACCACAGGGTTTTAATGTGAAAGAGAAGCGTAGCAGCCAATTACAGAAAGATCGAGGCAATACAAGGGGAAACACGTGATGCAGGTATCACGCTCTGGTAGCAGTGCCCCGCTCAGGACCCAGGGGACAGCCAAGGTGATGGAGGGATGCAGGGGATACCAAGGCTCAGCCATGCAGCCAGGGCACATGGTGGCACGGGGTAGTGGGCTGCTGGGCACACACAGCCTCCTCCTGTCCCCATGCCAGGGCAGCTGATGCATGCTGCCGCTCCCCATGGCTCTTGCTCCATGTCCTTGTGCCACGGTCCTTGCTTCAGGACTGTTGCTGGTTCTGGGCACCATCCTGGGGGCTTTAGAAAGCCCCGCAGCTCCCGCGGCGGGACATGCCCCACCTCTGCGCACCAGGGAGGTAGTACCCTGTGCCATAGGAAGAGAAGCCAGAGCCGTAGGACCTCCCACAACTGCCAAAGCCGCTGGACCCATATTGGCCTCCATAGCCCAGGGAGCCCACGTCACCCGTGTTGTCTCCAGAGCCTAGGGAACGGCCATACCCAGAGGAGCCCCCATAGCCTCCCAAACCAAAGGAGCTCCCATAGCCCCGGGAACCCCTATAGCCAGAGGAGCCCCCCAAGCCCAGGGAGCTCCCATAGCCCCCCAGACCAAAGGAGCTCCCATAACTCTGTGAGTTCCCATAACCCAAGGAGCCCCTGTAGCCAGAGGAGCCCCCCAAGCCCAGGGAGCTCCCATAGCCCCGGGAACGCCCATACCCAGAGGAGCCCCCATAGCTTCCCAAACCAAAGGAGCCCCCATAACTCCCCGAGCTCCCGTAGCCCAATGAACCCCCATAGCCCCCCAAACCAAAGGAGCCCCCATAGCCCTGGGAGCTTTGGGAACTGAAGGAACTCCCCAACCAGGCTGGGCCTGACGATCCCACAATGCTCTCCTGAGGAAAAGAGCTGAGTATTGGGCCCGGGACTGTCACCACAGCCGGCGGCGGGAAGATCACTGCTCTGGAGTCGGGGCATTGCTGCACACACGGCTCATTGTAGCTCTCGGCAATCGGCTGAGGGCAGGTCACCTCGCAGGGTCTCCAGGACTCACTGTAGCAAGACATCCTTCTTGTGATGGCTGAGAGTCTGCAACGCACAGCAGTAGGGAGTTTTATGGTAAATGAGCAAATACCAGAGCTGGACTGGGAGGACGTGAACCAAGATTGTTAAGCAATGACTCTGTGTCTGAAATATCAGAAGTTAACAGGGAAACAGATAAATTTATACATGCTAACAAATAAGACTCATTCTTGTATCAACTCAACCTTTATCCTTTCTTTCTTTTCATCATGATCACCTTTGTAAATAACTTGATGTGAAACAGAGATTCAGTTCTGGATAAGTTAGATAGACAGATCTGTCTGTAGCAACTTGGACTGGTGAGGATGCACTCACAAAGTGTAAGAACCAGTGAAAGAGAAGCTAACAGGAATAGGAGAAAAGGCTCATTGACTATATGTATTAATTCAGACTTCATGAGGTGTAAGTCACCCCAAGTATTTCTATAGGTTGGAGATCTACTTCCTATCCTAATGCAGTGACTCCTGATACTGCACCTGGACAAAAACACGTTTTCGGAAGGAAACAAAGGACGTAAGTCTGTAAAAACACATGCAGGAATCATCTCTGTGACAAAAGCATTGTTAAAGTAAATACTAATAGTAGTAGAAAGAATGAGTGAAACCACACTTACCTTGTTCACTGCAGAGACTGAGACAAGAGAAGTGGATAGAAAGGCTACAGGTGATACGAGCTTTTATACTCTTCTTTAAGCCACCCTTTGTGCCTCTGGTCCTAATTCATTACAAAACAAACGTGATGGTGGGAGCTTTGATTTTGCCACCTCAGCACTGTCCCTCCCAAATGCTAGTGTGGGTGTGATGCAACTGCTGATGACAATTTTGGGAACTTGCAGCTGAAGGGTTGCCATACAGTCATCGACTGAAAGCCAGAACAAGAGTCATGCGTCATGTTAGTCCCATTTTAATGTTCAAGGTAGTATTTACATGGTCTGGAGCCCTTTTTGGTGCCACGTGCACAAACCAGGTAAAGGTCATCCAACATGTGAAGTTTGGCTCTGAGAGGACACAAGTTCTCCTTGTGGCTGGCTAGGGATCTATAAATGTTGTTATACAGCAGAGCAAAGAGCTGACACGATGCAGGCGCACTCCTGATGGGATATCACTATTGCTAATAACAGCACGAAAGCAGTAAGCCCTGGAAAAGGTTTTAGCTTGTGCTCTAAGCTTTTCATTTTACCTACAATTAACCCAGGCAGGGAGACCTGTGTCTGATTTACTGCACCTGTCAAATGATACAGGGGAATGATACAGTCCCATCATCACTAGCAATATTAACTACAACCCAAGCAGAGCTAGCATCGGTCCATTGAAACCTCTCCCAACATCCTTCTCTCAAGTCTTCTGAGAAAATTCAAAGGACACTAGGTTAACAGAGGAATGGCTGGGCTAAGTGACACCTTCAAAGAGGCAGAAAAGGCCTTATTGATATAGCCAGAACTGTTGACAGGGTCTCTGTCTAAAGTTAATACCAAACATTTCAAAATTTCATTTGAAATCTCTACTTCTAGAAGTTCAGTTAGAAATGCATTTAAAAACAATCCTAATTTTCTTTCCCCCCACCCATGAAGTACTGACCACTTAAGAAAAAGTGGGAAATTAAAATAGTATTAAAAAGGAGATATCTTAATGGGATAAGTCTGTGGCACCATAGAGTTATTTGCAAATCTGTTCTTTTCTAATTTTACAATATTGCAAAAGATAGGCTATAAATTACCTCTAAATTGTAAGATAGCTGTGCCTTTGAAGTGTCATCAGGATTTGCTGATAATAATGACAGGCACCTGGAAGATAATGACTTTAAGCTGCTTCACAAATACTCGTTAATACTTAGTGCTCGCAATTTCTGTTTTTATCATATTAAATGAAGAAGGGCAGGATTTAGAAGCTCCCTTGTTATGAAACAGCATCGCTTAAAATATATGCCAACGAATGTCACTCCTTTTGATTCTCTAACCAGACTGTGATTTGTAACTTCAATGCTTGCAAGGATTTGATTTTCATTCATGATCTCAAGTTCTTTATTTTACTAAGTATTAATACGTTTGGGGAGATTATGACATGTCCATGCTACAGATTATAGATAGTAGCTTCATCTCCCTTTACGAGCCAGGATTTTGCTAATATGCCTGAAATATCTATTGCCTTAAATTCTAGGTTGGGGGAAGAGCCCCATTAAAAATTATCTGAATTTTCAGGCTTAACTGGCTATCTGTCCATGTTCTGAAAAACAAGGGGTCTCAAGCTGATGTCCTAAAATCTCTACTCCTAGACTTTCCAAATCATTTGCTCTCACTTCTAAATGACCCCCTCTCTTATGCATGAAGCTGTACCTAATGACACAGAGCACTTCGTTCACACATCTCTAAACTGATGTTCTTGCACAAGATTTGTGTGCTGATAGTTGCGTGTTTGTGTATAACTATAGTACAACACATCAAATATGAATTTTTAGTGGGTGTTTGTAAAGCCTCTTATTGTTCCTAGGAGGATCTGGAACATCTCTGAAGTGTCACTGCCTCAATGACATTTCAGACAGCAGTAAAAATAACAATGGAATCCACCTTATAATTCATGAGTGATTAATGGTATTTGATCTGCAAATACAGATGTTAAAACCCCCATGTTTCTAAACCAGATGCAGATACCTGAAATTCTCCCTTTCCTGTTACGTCTCTCCCTCTTTTTATCCAGCTTGCATGTATTTTCATAGTATTCACTTAAATGGCACTATTCATAAAAGACAGGTAACTTTAATTGATCCTTACTCATCTACCCTAAAAAAATCAAACTTATTATCTTAAAACTTAAAGTGGAATTAAATAGCAGATGGCCCAATGCTGGTGCTGGGTATTAGATGTCTGAAAGATCTCATCATTCACCAGACCAATGCCCACAAGTTGGTAGTGACATTGTATCACACCTGTTTTTGAAGGTGGGGAGTGGCAGTGCAAAGCAAGCAAAATTAAATCCCTCAATGTGAAGGTTGTTTTGTTACTATGTAGGACCTGAGGCACAAAGGGTGTTTCATATCTGTAAGCAGTTTGAGAAAAGTATAAAAGCTGTCTCCACTCCAAGGCTCTCTATACACATCTCCTGGCTTATTCTCCTTGGTGAACAGGGTAAGTCTGATTTGGCCCAACCTCTATCCTCCTCAAGCTTTTTTCTGTTGATGCTAAATTCTACATGATGCTATGGATTGGCAGGTTAGAGAACTGCGGGTGTCTGAAGGTGTGATCCTTAGAACAAAATGGGAAGTTTTACTATGCCACTTTGAATAACCATTTCCCAGGCATTTCAGCTCCAATTCAGGATCTACATGCATTATAAAATTTAAAAATATCAGAGTGATCATAGTATCTACCACCTTGTGGTAGTACTTGCCCCATAAGGGTAAATATTCTTATTTGGAAGTTGAGTGTTACTGGGGAAGCAATATGAAACTGGCTATATCTGATACTTTTTTTCTTAACTTGCTGTAAATACCTTACCAAACTTCAGTCTGTTTCAGCTGGTCTTAATAAATTAGATTCATCATACTACAAGCAAGAGCAGTAATATCAAGTGTGGGATTCACCATACATGACATTAGATGTCTGCATCTGCGCATGACATCTAGGGGATCTTGACCGTAAACGAAGTCTAGGATGTGATTTATGTGACCAGATGTAGGTATACTTTACAAAGTAATGAACTCTGGGCTGTCACAATTTCCACTGACTATAAAGCAAGCACAGGCATCTAGAGTCAGGTCAAAATTTCTGCATGTGAAACCTCCCTACTGTGCGTTGCAGACTCTCAGCCATCACAAGAAGGATGTCTTGCTACAGTGAGTCCTGGAGACCCTGCGAGGTGACCTGCCCTCAGCCGATTGCCGAGAGCTACAATGAGCCGTGTGTGCAGCAATGCCCCGACTCCAGAGCAGTGATCTTCCCGCCGCCGGCTGTGGTGACAGTCCCGGGCCCAATACTCAGCTCTTTTCCTCAGGAGAGCATTGTGGGATCGTCAGGCCCAGCCTGGTTGGGGAGTTCCTTCAGTTCCCAAAGCTCCCAGGGCTATGGGGGCTCCTTTGGTTTGGGGGGCTATGGGGGTTCATTGGGCTACGGGAGCTCGGGGAGTTATGGGGGCTCCTTTGGTTTGGGAAGCTATGGGGGCTCCTCTGGGTATGGGCGTTCCCGGGGCTATGGGAGCTCCCTGGGCTTGGGGGGCTCCTCTGGCTACAGGGGCTCCTTGGGTTATGGGAACTCACAGAGTTATGGGAGCTCCTTTGGTCTGGGGGGCTATGGGAGCTCCCTGGGCTTGGGGGGCTCCTCTGGCTATAGGGGTTCCCGGGGCTATGGGAGCTCCTTTGGTTTGGGAGGCTATGGGGGCTCCTCTGGGTATGGCCGTTCCCTAGGCTCTGGAGACAACACGGGTGACGTGGGCTCCCTGGGCTATGGAGGCCAATATGGGTCCAGCGGCTTTGGCAGTTGTGGGAGGTCCTACGGCTCTGGCTTCTCTTCCTATGGCACAGGGTACTACCTCCCTGGTGCGCAGAGGTGGGGCATGTCCCGCCGCGGGAGCTGCGGGGCTTTCTAAAGCCCCCAGGATGGTGCCCAGAACCAGCAACAGTCCTGAAGCAAGGACCGTGGCACAAGGACATGGAGCAAGAGCCATGGGGAGCGGCAGCATGCATCAGCTGCCCTGGCATGGGGACAGGAGGAGGCTGTGTGTGCCCAGCAGCCCACTACCCCGTGCCACCATGTGCCCTGGCTGCATGGCTGAGCCTTGGTATCCCCTGCATCCCTCCATCACCTTGGCTGTCCCCTGGGTCCTGAGCGGGGCACTGCTACCAGAGCGTGATACCTGCATCACGTGTTTCCCCTTGTATTGCCTCGATCTTTCTGTAATTGGCTGCTACGCTTCTCTTTCACATTAAAACCCTGTGGTGTTGCACAAGAACTTCTCTGGTTTTCATTGTTCTTCAGCCTCCTCGGGGAGCAAAACTCCCTGGTGTGCTGAGTTATCAAACAATCTGCCCTGCTCAATCTCCCTTTAAAATGTGGAATAAAAGTTTAATTGGGATCCTTAAGGCATCAACAGCATTGTGTTAATGAATGTTTGTTCAGCAATTTACCAGTCATTATCTTCCCCAAGGTTCAGAACAGGCAGGGTAATTGTTATTGCTCTGAGGATTTCTGGTGACACCCCAAAGGGCTGCCAAATCATCACATAAATTAGCAATCAATTACTACATAATTGCAGCATTCCTGACCTAGCAAGCCAACAAAGGAAGAATCATACATAATTTTTTCTTTAATTTGTTGATTTTTAAATGTTCTTCCTGATATTTACTGCCATTCTTTGTTAATGGCAAAATGTTCTTCATAATCTAAAAAGTGAGTATGAAAATAATACCAGAGATTGCTGGGATTTTATGAGCTCCAAGGAATTGAAATACCAAGAGATGAAATGATATATTGCCTGTAAGACAGCATTAGCTTTCCCACCTCTTCCCGCCCCGTCACCCCCATTGATTGTTAGCCAGGAATGATTATTCCATATTGTACTTAAAGAAGTGTGACTATGGGGAAAGATACCCTATCAAAAAAGGGGTATTACTCATTGCTTGTATTTATCTATGATTACCTCCTTTCTAATTGCTATGGTATGAGTTAAATGAAGATCTGCCCAGTACTGACAATTTATGCACAGGCAAATTTTTCCCAGAGAAGGCTCCGAAGAGGAAGAGAGAGGAAGAATATTGCAAGACACATATTGTGATGCACCATACATTTAATGAGTGAGAAGCAGAATTTAAAAAAAATGTACAGCATAAGAAAGCAGTAGGGTTGAATATGGATAAGACTAATCATCCATTTCAAGGGAATGCTTTACAGCTGGACACCCAGCTCCTACATGCAACAATAAAAGTTACATTTTTCACCTCATTGTTAACAGAGAAAGGCATTAAATCAGAAATGCCAAGCTCCTGCAGTCCCATTAGCTTAGGGAAAAGCTGAGGGTGGTCAGCAAGCATATGGCCATGGTCATGAACTCAGTCCTGCATCCGGATCATGCCTTTAAGCTTCTGGTTGTTCCTTTGTGGTTTTTCCCCAAGGCTTTGTCATGGCCCACACCGGTTGTAACGACGGTAGGACCTCCCATAAAGGCCACCTAGACCTGAATGTCCAAGGCTCCCAAGTCCCAGGGAGCTGCCAGAGGAGATGGGGACCCCCCCAGCATTGAGAGCATCCCCGACAGCTGCAGACGCTGAGGATCCCACCGTGGTATTTTGTGGGAAGGAGCTGAGGATCGGGCCGGGCAGGGTCACCACCACAGGAGAGGGCTGGATCACATATGTCGAGTCCTGGCACTGCCTGACGCAGGGCTCGTTGCAGCTATTCGCCAGCGGGGTTGGGCCACAGGTGGTGGGAGGACACAGGTCATAGCAAGACATGTCTGCGGGATGGAACTAAGTCTGAAACACAGGGAAGGAGGTAAATACAAGGAAGAAGTTGTAATTAATTATAGTCATGTAATTAAGCTGCTGAGATTATGGAGAGTGCAACAAACTAACTAGACACTATGTGCAGAATGGAATAATGTGTTAGTCTTAGGTTGAAAGGAGACTTCAGTGAAACCCAAACTCCTCTACACTACAGAGGACAGCTCAATGCGTAGCTCTACCTGCTCCTGAGCAGTCTTTGATAGCTCATTTCCCACAACACTCCTCCAGGATGCCTGCAGCCCTGCAGTAGGTGGGAAGTGAGGGACAAGGCTTATGATCTCCTGTATGACACAACTAGAAGAAACTTCGCCCAAAACAGAGGGAAGAAGAAAAAATTCCTCAGCAGGTAGAAGTGAGGAGCATAACCTGGTAATGTGACACTTACCTGTGAAAGGGAGCTGTTATCCTCCCCACTGATGGGCTTGTCTCTTAAACAGCAAAAGAACAAATATTCTGCCTAATTCTTATTTAATCATCCCCTTTTCTTTGTGCTTATTTCCTCTTACATGAGTCTTACAGAGAAAGCAGCTTTCTGCCTGTTTCTGAAGGGGAGGGAAATGGAAGTTGACGGTGTCCAAAATCATTTGATAAGCAAATAGAACAGGCAGAAGCTCTACTATTGATATTTTAGTTTCAGGTTATTGAGGTGCTGCAATGGAGATCTAGTGCCAAAGTATTCAGAGCATTTTAGAAGGAGACGATTCAAGTATTTCTGGTCCCAAAGTGCTTAGGAACAGAGAAGGATTATTTTCATGGTATCCTAGTGCAAGAAGGGATATACTTTCAATATTGTTCAGCACACTTGAAAATTTGAGCCCATTTACTTGCCTATCTACAGAATAAGCTCCGAGAAAGTAAAAAAATCTCTGTACAGATTCTCCACATCCACTTCTAGTTGCTGAGCAATTCACATGCAGAGATTAGAACATCTTGGAACTGAATGATCCAGTGACACAAATGAAAAATGAGTCTGAAGTCCTGTATCCAGCAATTGCCACCCTTCAAAGAACAGGTGCCCTCTTTCAGAGAAAGAGCTACTTGCAGGTCTCCCACACACACTGATAAAGAGCATAAACCTTAGACTGCTATAGACAAGGCAGTGTAAAAATAAAATACGATGAAGGCAACAATTCAGGACATTGAAAGATAGCAAGCAGGTTCAGACTTACCCTTTTCACCAAGGAGAATAAAGCAGAAGAAGTGGATGGCAGCAACTCTCACTGTGCTGGCTTTTATACTGTGTCCTCGAGTGCCTGAGGACCTGAGACATACTTTGTGCATGTAGCTTTACCAGCCAATTGCTAAAGACTGCTTGTATGCAAAATATTCCCAGCTGATGATTTACTTTCTCCTCACTGTTTGTATTTATTGCCTTGATCTAATTTCCTCACCATAATGTATGCATTCCACTATAGAGGTTTCTTTTATCTTAAAGTCTTATGAGCCCAGTTAATTCCTGGTAAAATCAACTGCTTCATCTGAGTTACTAAAGAAATTCTTTTGCATCCTAAGGACAATATATGCAATGTATGTCATTTGACACAGATGAATACATATATTGGGAAAGACACATGTGAACTCCCCTGCGAAATCCCCCTTCCCTCTTCATGGAGAGCACAAGTTTTTGACACATCTCACTCTGAAAGAGCCAGCAGTTACTATTTCTGACTCTGAATTGGACTGTAGGTTTGCCAAATTCCTCCCAAACAGCCACACAGCTGCACAAATTCAGAAAATAAAATCGTTACAGAAAGCACTTAGCAGAGCTGATTGCACTTTACCAGCCTCAAAGGTACTTAGTGGGAAACAGATTATTTGAGGGAACGTATTGTTTTACTTTCTTGACTCAGGAGACAAGATGAAAGAGTATCAGCAGTCTGATCTACTCATTTAATATTAAACTACTACACTTCCATGAAGGAATTTGAGACACAGCTCTTCAATTTGGGAACTGAGCGTCAAAGCCCTTAATCTAAGGAGTCTGCAGTTTTATCTTTCTTCCTACATCAAACTCCAGGAAAACAATTCAGGTCAGATTGAGGATGCATGTGAATTTTAGGCTAGTCAGAGACACTGGTACTCAGAGTCTTGCACAAGCTTACCTACGGGGTCATTAATGACGCCAAACAGTTTTACATTTGCCATTAAATTATTCTTTTCCCCTACTCTGTCTTGCACTATTACACAAAATTATACTCCAAATTAATGGTAGCTACTTACAGAAGTGTATAATATTCTTGTTCTTTTTTTCTCTTTTGAAAGCAAATAATGTTGTCTTCATTTTGCATGGTCTTAAAGAACATTGCAATGTGCAACAATTCCATTTCTTTTTCAAAGACAATTTCTAGATTAAAAAGTAATTGCATACAATGCACAAGCAGACTTTAGGGCAGGGATCAGTATTCCAATCTCTCCTCTCCTAGTGTTTAAATCACTTAGCTAGAGACATGCAAATTATCCCTGAACTGCGAGTATCTTCATTAAGATCTCCTGGGAAATAAATGCTGATTGTACACTTCTGAAGAGCAAAAGTCTTCAAAGTTCACAACACATTTTCATCAATGGCTCAGACATGCAAATAATGCATTATCAGAAAATGTGAAGGTATGTGACACTATTTGAACATGATCAGCATGTAAAGTTTGTGACCAGGATTACTAATGAATTTCACAAACTTCCGCACATTATACGGTGTCACAAACTGGAGTCCTTCCATTTTTTACTTAAAATACAAATAAGTATTTGCACAAAATCATGTGTTAAAAATCCCATTCCAATCATCAGTCACTGGATGTCCTTAGGTATGTGATGACCCCCATCAGTGACACTACTGACTGAAGCTCTCTTGTCCCTTGAGATTTACCAGCCTTTCCCCAATGCTCTTACCAACACACACACACAGACACACTACTGCAGTATCAGAATGTTAAAAAACATAATCCTTTATAGGAATAACTATCTACTGACCATAAGAGAAGCATGTGGGTTTGAACACAAACTCATCAAAAGGTATAGTGATGATAAAAAGAATCACAAGTCCTCTCCTGAAGGTGTTCATATGTTGAGTTAGCCTGGCTGGCTCAATCTTCTCATCCCAGGAGCTGAAAGCTTTGGGGTATTGCTCGTTGGAGTATTACAAAGAGTAGTGATCCTAAATCTCACAGTCACTTATCAGGGATGAAATTACACACTCAGGGCTTAAATTACAAGCTCTTGCTGTAACAGCAGATGGTACTCCCATGGGCCAATGTGACCAAAATGCTAAAGAGCAGGCAAAATTCCTAACCAAATTGAATTTTGACTCATCCACATTTTGGGAAGGTGGAGTCGGTGCATTTGGAGCCAGGCATTTTTAGTGGATGCAAACCAAAAAGATGAAAGAGGCACTATGGATCATGGTTTTCATCCAACGCCAGGATAAGTCCAGGCAATAAACACAAACAGTAAACAAAATTTCACTAGCGGGCATCCAGCCATATGCAAAAAAAACAAAACAAAAACAATTAATGCAGGAACTAGTTAGTAAATGTGCAAGAATGTCTCAGATCTTCCAGGCAGCCTGAGAAAGCTAGAAAAGCTCTTGCTCTTCAGAGCCTTCCTGCCTCTTCCCTTATCCCTGTATGCACAGCAGACGCTACAATTCTGGTTTCAGCTTTACAAAATTTGGTATTGAAATACATTTTCACTCACAGCAGTAGCAAATACTTGGCGTCCTGCAAAAACAGCTCATGTTATTCTTTTTTCTATGGGACCAACTTGTTCCAGCTATTCAGTGATAGATATTAACAGATGCAAGTTTATAAATCGAGAAAGAGAAGATACAGACAGTTCTTTTGTTCAGAGCATGTGTACTCTACCACGCAGTTTCTTATGCTGCTGTTTTATTGTCTGGTACTACGTGTTATTGCATACATGCTGCCTGATTATGTAGAACCCAGTCTAATACAGTATGACACTTCCAAAGCAAACACAATAACAACTTAGGAGGCAGTGCCTGAGCTTGTCTTGCCTAGAAAATTTTCTCTGTAACGTGATAATCTAGCTCATATTCTGCAGCAGTGAATAAAACACTTTCTGATTAACTACAAAACCAAACAGAGAAGCCGTTTACTTTGGGACTGTGCTATACTTGTTGCTACGATAAGTTTTAACCCAAAGAAGGGAGTTTGGGACAGAAATGAAGGGGGAAATTGATGCTTGAGGATTGGTTTTGCTTTTTGTTTTGAAGAAGCAAGCTGCATACCAGACCTTTCTGCTACAATTTCTGAATGCTTGAAGGAAAGATCCCAACTTTGGAAAGAGCGTGCATGCATAGGAGTTACCTCTGTAGAGAGGTTTGGTGACGTTGATTAGAAGAAAGCTTAACAGAGAATTGCAGAAGGGGATTGCAAGGGTAGGAAAATGTACTTTGTGATGAGAAGTGACATTATCTGTCCACCTGAATATGTTAAAGATACCTCCAATGTGGTGCCTCAGCCATAACTCCTTCCAGCCATACCGATACTGTGGAATTATAACTTCTCTGCTATGTTAGATGCGCAGGTCGAACTCCGTAGGAGAAAGCTATTTTGCCAGAACTGCAAATGAATGATGACTTCTTTGGAATGCACCCCCTTTGATCAAGCAATAGCTTCAGTTGAGATGGCAAAAAATATATTACACGTTTAATTCAGACCAATGTTCTGCTGTACTATAATATCAAACTGCTAACTTTCCATTCTCTTCTGTTGTTTATTAAGAAAACCTACTCCTTAAAATTATTAATTCTTTCATGGAACTGCTGTACCTCCTTTAATTTAGCTCCACTAATGACTGTAGTCAATATAACTTTGTCAACATCTTTCCCTTGCTTTACAGTTCAGCATCAGTCTGTACAGACACAGACAAAGACTCCAAGCAAGAAACTTCACTGATATCAGGCTGTGAGTTGTATAGGCTGACAGGACATTGAATCA